TTCTCGTCATAATCCGAGTGCACTTCCAAGCAGTGAAAAGAACAGCAAATTATTATTATTTTTTTATGTTCCAATACTAAAACATGGAATTTTGCATGAATAGAATTAAATGGCAGATATTTTTGGCTTGTACAGAAATGAGCAATTTGAAGAAAAAAGGAATGTACCATTTCTGCTATATCTGTATATAACACAATATTTATTGATATATGTCATAATGCTAAATCTAATTCTACTATTAAAGGTTTTCTGAACTAAAACATCTGAAGGGTTTGTGAGGATTGTGATGTTTATGTGAATCACTATGACCTGTGGGTAAATGGTGTGTGTGTGTGTGTGTGCGTGTGTGTGTGCGTGTGTGCGTGCGTGCGTGCGTGCGTGCGTGCGTGCGTGCGTGCGTGTGTGTGTGTGTGTGTGTGTGTGTGTGTGTGTGTGTGTTTCTTGAATTTCATTTATTCCAAGAAAATCATTCCATACCAACGGCTTGAATACACCTCTTCTATGATGAGCATGTTTTCAACTTCTGAATGAAAATTCTTTTTTATACTTTTGTGGGGATTTAAAAAATGACAGCGTCGCTGTAATGACGAAAAAGTGTGGTGAAATTCTTCACAATATTTTATTTTTTTCTAAAGAGCAGTATGTGAAGCAGTTATGTTACTGCTTCTGCTGTTACTCATAATATATGACAAAAAAAATTGTCTGCCAAGTATAAGTCAGTATGATATACATATATCACATGCAGGAAGCTATAGTTCATGTCAAAGTCATAGTTGTAACAAAAACCATATATATATATATATATATATATATTTAACAAAGTGATATCAGAGAAGATGCAAAGTCTGTTTGGATTATTGGTCAAGGTCACTAATCACTAAAGTGCTCAGTAATATTATTGTTAAGCAGGAATAACTCTTGTATTACAGTTCTCCCTCTTTCAAAATTTAAAAGTCAAAAGTCATGTTGAAATAGTTTTTAATATTCTTATTTTGAAGCATTTGTTTGTTTGGAGCTTTATATACCCCAACCAATTTTTAGAGGAAACTCAATTAAGCAGATTCAGGCACTGGAAAGTACACTTTGCACAAATTTTCCAGAGGCCCCGTATGGCTGCATTTGAATACATCCATACTCGGCCTTATGGCCATCCTCGCTTCGGCTTTTAAATTATGCAAGTGGATTATAAACCACAAAGGCTCAGTCCATTTTTCCCCTCGCTTGAGTAATCTCCAGACCACCCGGCCCCTCTGACTGCCTGGCTCGTGCTTTACAGTGGGACTGGAATTACATTACAGCTGACAGTGAAAACCGCCGCGGGGCCTGAAGCCAGTGAAACATGAAGGCTTTGACAGAAAAAAAATTTCCCTCAATATATGAGAAATTTTCTTGAATCTTGAGCATTTTGTTTTATTAACAACTTTGCAATAAAATAAAAACTCTGGAGGTAAAATGTTTTGAAAAGGATAGTTCACTCAAAAATGGAATGAAATCTGTCATTATTTACTCACCATTATGTTGATCCAAGTGTGCATGAATTTATTTTGTGGAACACAAATGGATACATGATGAAGAATGTGCAGGTCACTCTTTTCCATGCACATATAATAAATTCAGCTCTTAAAAGTACCAAATACGATAGTTTTGTAAGACTTTGTATGAGTGAAATTTGTTCATCTTTTGAATGAAATGGTTGATTCACTTTAAGGACTTAATTCACCCAAAAATTAAAATTTGCTGAAAATGTACTCACCTTCAGGCCATCACCAATGGATCCTCTGCAGTGAATGGGTGCCGTCAGAATGAGAGTCCAAACAGCTGATAAAAGCATCACAATAATCCACACCACTCCAGTCCATCAGTTAGTGTCTGTGAATTACAATTCATAATTGTGTTGATTCATATTTATATTGTTAGGAAGATACTTTAAAAAAGTGCACAAACTCTACATAGTGCTATGGGCTAATTTTGTTGTGCAATAGCTTACACGCAGCTCAAGAAACTGATTTCAAACTCTGAAATTAATTTATTTTAATTAAAAAGACAAGCAAACAGTCCAGTCATAAAATAAGAACAAATATATTAATTGCAAGCAATAGCACAAATAAATACAATAATAAGATATAAATGAAATTAATGGTGTTTTAAGTTTTTCAGGTAGGCCTAGGTCTAACAGTAGGCTAATATTCAGATACAGAATTACTACAAAAATTGAATAACCTATTCAATTGTATAATAACACTTTATAGGCACTTCACTGTATAAATATTAAAGGTGCAATAGGTGATTGTCTTCAGAAACATTTTTTGTTATGCTGGTTGAAAGTCTCTTCACATCCCGATAGCAATCATTAAGTTAAGTGGTCTAAATGTATTTATCTGTATTTTTATATTCTGTGGAAGGTGTAGGACCAAGAAATGTTCGTCCAATCAAAACATTCGGTCCGAGTGTTTTAATTAATTTCCTACCTGCTTGTCAACGTATGTATTAGCATACCTCTGCGCACCCGGTTCGCGCAGACAGGATACGTCATCAGCGCGTTTACGAGAATGGCAGACAAACATCAACAACCCGATCTTCCTTCCTGGTATTGTAGTACTTTTAAAGTTTTCTCACCATGAATGGCACATGATGTAGCCCAGCGGTTCCCAATCTGAGCAGGGGAAATCCGTTGAAGTTCCCTTCACTTCGGAACATGGGCTGGAATTGGGAACCGCTGATGTAGCCTATTGTAGTAATGTTGTCTCTGGTATTCTGGTCTGTGAGCTTATATGCGTTCAGGGGGCGTGGCTTTGGACAGCGATTGCGGGGAGGGTGGCATTGTTTATGCTTTTTAAGGCATAAAAGCATCAGCACCCATTGATTGCAAGGACAAAAGCAACCAATACAATTCTTCAAAATGTCATTTTAAGTTATACAATTTGGAACAACATGAGGGTGAGTAAATAACGACAGAGTTTTTATTTTGGGTGAACTAACCCAAAAATAACTGTGCCGGTGTGTGTTGTGTTGCGGAGCCCAAGGCTTTGTGAGGGTCCAGCTGGGGGGCCGTATGTTTGGTGGGTTTGGCCAGCTGTATTAGGACATCTTGAGCTCATGTGGGTCATTGGGGGGTGTAGGGCTTCAAAATAAAGTGGCGGAGAGAAGCTGCACTTTCCCTCTCATGAATACTAATGCTGGGCCACTTGCTGGCACACCCTACATCACGGCTACAGCTAATCATACTCACTGTTAATCCAGTTTAGAAGGTGCTACAGTTGTGAGTTTTAGTCTGATGCAAGCACATGAATTCATGATTAGGCCCAGTAATCTCAGTAATGCAATCACACTGAGAAAATAGGAATATGATTGGCCGGCGTGTGCCTCAGGATAAGGTATCTGTAAAGAACACTGCTGGGGCAATATAACATATTGATATTTGTTGAGAGTGGCAGCACAATATTGCAAAATCTCATCATTTTGGTGGCTGGGTGATGGATGTCTATAGGTGCAAAATTGACTTTTCTGTTATGACCAGCACTACCCGGCAGTAATGGAAGAAAGATTGAGCCGATGCCATGAGGATCTTCAGGTGCTGGAGCCTTTAGAAATTAGATTTGCATATATTCTCATACACACACACACATTATATATATATATAGATATACTATTTATCCCAGGGTTCCCACGTTTGGCCAATTAAAGATGCATTCAGTAGTTCTTCGGCTAGTGTTTCAGTACTGAAACCACAAAGGTGTTCGACGCTGCACTTCCATCTATCATCATGGACCAGCATTATAAGTTTTTATAGTTTTATGTAAATTACATTAAAACCTATGCTGGGTAGTAACCAGTTACATGTAATCTGGATTACGTAGTCAGATTCCAAAATTAAGTATTTGTAATTAGAGTAAATTTCATTTCAAAATACTCAATCAGATTACTGTAAATTTTATGGATTACATGACTTCATGTTATTCACAGTGGCAGTAAACTAATCTTTTTTTTTATTCTCACTAATTCTTAATCTCTTAAGCAATTAGGCCATGTATGAAACAAATAATTATGCAAATTACTAAACATTGGTGAGGTATTTCTGTGAAACACTATTTCATGTTAATTAACGTTTGTTCATGTAAAACAGATTTCCAAATGTTTCCGTTAGCCAAACTCCTTACAATTATTATTGGTTACATTTTTCTAATATAATTAGATTTTTATCAACTTACAAACCCACTGCAATTCTTATATTAAGCACAATTTGGGAAACCCTGGTGTAATGTAACGTTTAATGCATTTCATGTTGATATAAAAAGAGGAATATGTTTTCTGCTTTTTTATATCTATGGTATGGTCTTTAAATGGCAAGTTTAAAACAAGTTAGATTAAAAAGTAAACTACGCAACATACACGCCAGAATAGAAAATGCGATGTTAAATCATCTACATCACTTGATCAATAAGCCCCACCCACTAATTAATACAATTTGCATACAGGTTGACTTTGAAAATGGTAAAATAAACACAAAAATCAGCCTTTACATTTTAATTGGAGTTCTCTATTTTTGTGTGAGCATTAATAAAAAGCTTTATTACAAAAAATGTATTTGCATTCTCCTTCACATTCACCTTTTCACTTTAATATCGTAGTCTTGCCTCAAGATTGCAGTGAACAACCGTATTTTATACCGTATAAGAAAATAACCGTATTTTATTTTTCAATTTGACATGGATGACAAAACGTCACAGTGGAAATAGAAAAAAAATAATTTCATTTTTGATTTTGGCATATTTTGCATGCAGTTCTCTAATAAAATTGTTAATCTGGTTTTCATTTTCATAATTTAATTGATTTAAAACGAGCAGAAAACACCATCCATAGTCTGTAAGCTACAAGAACGCTACATTTATTTGTAGTTCCAAGCCTGGAAGCCCAATTCTTGTATTTCCACATTTTTCAATGCCTATAGGAAACCCTGTCCATATTTCTTCCCCCAGACAAGACACACCCATGCTTCAAAATAGTACATAGAGTTTATTTTGTTCTCTCAACAGTGGAGTTGTTAAAATATGTTGTCATTCTTGATGAAGTGCAACAGTAGAAGGCAAACATGCTAGATAGTCACTCACACACAACCATGATTTGACTTTGCAACCAACCCAAATAAAACCATACTTGCACTTGACCTGAAAGCGGGTGCTAGCAATACACAGGATTGCCCAAGCAGTAAAAACACGTTCCTTTAAGAAACAGGGAGAGAACGCTAAAACCAAATGCTAGGTTTCTCCTTTCCCCAATTCAAGTAGTTTTGTTTTTCTACAACAAATTCAAGTTCAATCTCAGAAATAAAAGGAAGAGTCCAGATAAAGAAGAACAATCTCACTCCTGGGTCCTGGAGTGAGGGATGGAGACAGGGAACAGGGAAGCCATCTGTGTTATCCAGGGTGACTTGCATCAGCAGTGAATGACGTAGGAGCTGCCTCACTGACGTGGTCCTGCATAGCGGCCCTCGCTGGGTCCTGTGCCTCGACCGGCTCCAAAACTGGGTTTCTGAGCCATGCCTCCGCGGGTGGGCGGTCCCCTTGACCCGCCTACCCTGTCGCGTGGTCCCCCCGGGCCTCTGGGGCGGATGTCCCGCCTGTCACCTTCACGGGCTGAGCGGGTCTTCTTCTCCTCTACGTTAAGCCGAACGTCTCCTCGCAGTTTAATGGGCTACGGCATAAAGAAAAGGTCATTCTGATGATCCCGCATTAGTCAAAACATCCTGTACCGCACAACATCTGAAAGCCACACGTACCCGATTGCTGAGGATCTTCTGCACAGGCTCAGCGTCATCAAACACCACGAATCCAAAGTTAGGCAGCTTTCCACCGCTGTTGATTCTCAGTTCAAGGACAGTGCCGTACTCTGTGCGAGAGAGATGAGCAGGCAAGTCAATGCAGGAGGAGCTGATCTACATTTTAAAATCAGTTCAAGTCGAAAAATAATGCTTGCATCACTTACGTTCAAAGAACTCCTTGAGCTCGTTCTTATCAACGTCGTGAGGTACGTTTCCGACAAAGAGTTGGTGGTTGTCAGGATACCGGACCGTTCGCCGCACCTCTGGTTCCCCGCTCTCACCCTCCCGCACTGCTAACCAGAGATTAAACATTAGATAAATGACACTGCCATCTGCATATGATGCATGTCCTTTCAGGTTGCTAGTGGACCAGCCATGATGTGTGCTCTTAATTTAACTTGCAATTTTGTGTGAGATGCTATTTATATGCAGACACGGGGTTCATTACAATGCTCAGGTCGCCTTAAGCGGTTTTGCCAGAGCCAATAAGATTTTGATAGATTGCACAACCAGCTAATCAAGTCTTTTGTAAAATCTTAAAGGGGTCATGATGCGATTTCAATTTTTCCTTTCTCTTTGGAGTGTTACAAGCTCTTGGTGCATAAAGAAGATCTGTAAAGTTGCAAAGACTAAAGTCTCAAATCCAAAGAGATATTCTTTATAAAAGTTAAGAGTCAACGACGCCTACCTAAAACGGCTCGTTCTAACACGCCCCCACATGTCTACGTCACTGTGTGGGAAGATTTGCATAACGCCGCCCAAATGTTCACGCAAAGAAAGGTGTAACTTTTATTCTCGCTGTAGTATTGTTGCTGCCACCGCCGCCATGTTGTGAAGGCACTGCGTGTTTCATTGTGAAAGCGAAACTACTTTGATTGGCCTTCCAAAAGAGGACACGACTAGAAATCAGTGGTTAAGTTGTATTTACAACACTGTTCCAGAACACTTCAACCCAAATATTCAGATGTGTGCAAAGTGCATTTTGCGGAGGATGTAAAAAGACAGTATAAGTCATTATAATCCGTAATTATGTCCCCACTGGATGCAACAAATGCCTCGTTTATAATGGGTTTTAATGTTTTTGTCTCGTCGCTCCGGCCGGGAGACACAGCATCACAATATGCTAAGGGGCGTAACATTTCCATCACACGCTTGAGGTATTCGGCCAATCACAACGCACTGGATAGCTGGCCAATCAGAGCACACCTCGCTTTTCAGACCGATGAGCTTTGTAAAAATCGACGCGTTTCAGAAAGGCGGGGCATAGAGGAGAAACAATAATGTACAGTATGTGGAAAATAATGTGTTTTTTGAACCTTAAACCGCATAAACACATTTCATTACACCAAATACACAAAATGTTCTTTTTAGCAACATCATATGACCCCTTTAAAAATGCATAAAAACATTCATGTGCACCCGTACTAGATTGATTACACTTTTGCACACCTCCTGGCCTTGCTGTTCTGTTGGCTGGAGAGGGTCCTGGTCTTTGGTCACGTGGTCTCTGGTCTCTCTGGGGTCTCTGTGCTGTGGTCTGTGTTTCTGCCTTCACCTCCACACGCGGCTATGGATCACAAAAACATCTAATCACCTAGTGCAATAAAACAGAGATTCCATGCAAAATTAAAAAAAAAAAAAGATAAAACCCCACACAATTATAATAATCTACAACCTGCTATAGTTCTAAAAAAAAAAAAAAATGTATCTACAGCAAGGTATAAAATGTAACAGCATTAATTGGTTTACAGAAAAGCAATATAGCCTAAAGGTATGTAGTAGAAATTTGGGATCAGATCCCATCGATTGAAAGACTTTTACCAGGGTTAATTTCATCAGTTTGTTCAGACACTGATCCCATTGATTTTGCCATTTGTTGATGACTTAAGATATTGCAGACCGGAGGGTCATAGGAGTTGTATAAGTGAAATAAAATAAAACCCAGACGATATAAAACAAACTCACAATATTAAGTTAAACAAGAGGTTTTAAATTGACTAAATTAAGTTATTAATAGATCTTAAAATTGTCATCTCTTTGCATTAAAAGCAGAGCAGTCCATAAGGATACCTAATATAATAAACGAAAAAGCAACTAATAGCCAGGATAACCCTAAAACAAAATTCCTTGAGTGAACAGGTTGGTTGTGAAAGTCTACCTGCGCAGATGGTACTCGGACAACATGTGGAGGGACTCCTGTGGCGGGGACCACTCCTCCGGGTGGGAGATTCTTGCTAGTGACTGAAGCCCAAGACGACGGCTGAAACAAAAAAGCATTTGACTTCACAGGTAAGCTCACTTATCCGGTTTGTGATGACTGCACATCTTCACAAATACAGATCTATTGACACGAGAGAGACCCAACAGACAGTGATGAATGAGGGTGGTCTTACCCGGTTGTCCTCTGGCATGGCGGGTGCCGTGTCAGCAGGTGTGGGCGAAGAGGGAGATCTCAGGATCTTTTCCTCCATGTGAACCTCAGGCTCGCTGACAGGCTCCGGTTTCAGCTGCACAGCTGCTGGCTCAGGCTCCACCTCTGCTTCTGGCTCAGGCTGGGGCTCTGGGCTTACAGACACCTCTTCTTGCGGCGCCTCGGGCTCCACGCTGTAAATGCACAAACTTGTATGAAATTTGCAAACAGTCACCCCTGTTTCTTGAGGGAATCATATCGAATAGATTTTGATTTCTAACAGACACCAGACAAAGTAGGTTACTGAAGAGCTGAAGTATGTATGGTTAGTTTTGACCTACAACACACCTGCATAGTTTGCATCCTGCCTTACTCAAATGACTACCAACAACTAGATTAAATGAGCCACAAAAACGAATGCTAGTTACCAAGGTGGCTGTTCGTAGTACCCAGCAGACTCCTCCTGGACCACTTCAGGCGAGTGCACCCGCAGGGTGTAGTACTGTCGGACAAACTCTCGCCCGACAAGCTGGGCACTTGGCTTCTCCATCACCATTTCTTTGGTCAACTGGTTTCAGCTGAAACAAAATGACTCATTAAAATCACCTCTAAAGAAGAAATCATCTTTTTATCAACCTCATGTTGTCCCAAACCCATAAGACTTACTCCTGAGGAACACAAAAGGAACTGTCAGAAACCTCTCCTTATGGGTTTGAACATGATGGGTATGACAATTAACATTTCTGGTTGAACCATTTTATTTTTTTTTTACTTCAGCTGCTAATATAGAGGTAAACTAGATTATGGCGAGGGAAACCAGGACAGACCGTTCAAGTGAAACTGAAACAAATCCCTTTGTTAAGCCCATCAAGATCGAGACGCAACGAGGCCGTTTAATGTCGATACCGTTTCTACAAATGGGAAACGAAGTCACACCCAATAAGAACAGCATTACAATTCTCGCAGATCGGCTGGTTTAGCTGCTTGCTCATCATGTAACGTTAGGGTGGGACATTATTGCCAATAGAAAACCGCGACTTAATCAGATGGATGCATTGTGAAATGGACTCAAGTAGGCCCCAACACCACACGCCGCGTTACTATCTTAAGCCCGGTTCCTTTGTGATCACGCGGAGACATTTGACGATATTAAAAACCAAACATTTATTCAGATACGTTCGCAATTTCAGTCAAACGCTTGATTTTCTGCAATCGTCATTAATGAATCAGACACGTGCCCAGCACTTGTCGCATAAACTTAGATGAGACGATAGATATCAACAGTAAATGACCACATTGTACACGGAAAATTAGTTTAAGTGATCCTACATGGGAATACGGTGAAAGACGCGTAACGCACCGTAATAGCTCGGTAAATGCGGGATCTCTCTGACGGAAATGTCGGCTGATGGTGAGGGAAATGCAGCTAAAGCTAATCCTCAGAGCGTCGAGCAACAAAAACCCACCCAGCGGCGAGTTTTACCGCTTCAGTCCGCAATTAAAGCGTAAGATTTATCATCCGAAAGGCTTTATTATGAAAACCGGCGAAATCGTGTATTTATAGAAAACAGGTCCGTCACATAAAGCACATGGCTATTAGCTGCGCACAAGCTAACAGAGTCAGTACGCTAACCGCATTAGAACACAAAAAAGGCTGCAAAAAATAAACGCTTTATATATTTTAATACAACAGAATAAATCCAAAAATACACTTACCAAGTGGGAATCAGTAATATGTGTTTGTGTTGAATTTGAAGTGATTTTATTGAAGCGCCGGTAGCTGTGAGGCTTTTAGCTCAAACACTGGCAGCAGCGCGTGTGGCGAATTGCCGGTTTCACTTTAGCTCCTGCTAAATCAACGGTCCGCCTGCTCGCAGAACTCAACAGCCAATCAAATCGACGCAGTGGATTCGCGCATCCTATCAGCATTCGTTCTCTCGCAAAGCCTCCCAAATCAACCAATTAACGTCAACTATACAGACTGTTCGCAGCCTATTAAAAACGAGAGTGAAAGGAAGGATCAGAACAAGGTTGTTAGGCCCGCATGGACGTGAACAATGTGGAGAGTAACAGTTGCGCAGCAGCTGCTCGTGTCGTTGCTTTAAGCGTTGTTTGTTTGCGAAACTAACGAGTTGCCAGGCGATGTCTGTGCACATTAGAAACCGTACACTACAAACATTACACTATCATTCTAAGTCATGTGAGAAAACGTTAAAATGAAGAAAGAGCATATTAAGGTGATTCTGAAGAATGCGTGTGGAAACTGTGCAATACGGGCTTTTCACTTCAGAAATTAAAATACATAAAAAATACTTAGAGCAAGGCAGTTTTAAGACCATTAACGTTTGCATTGTGAATGTGATCATTTATGGGATATTAATTTAATACAACTAAACATTTGCCTCTTTCTTGTTATTAAAATATTAGATAATAAAAATAATAAATTTCAAAAGCGTTCTAATTACCGCAATTTGAAAATAATTTCAATTTAAGTATAGCACTATATAGGTAGGCCTGTTTATGCATCATGGTAATACTTGTTTTACAGACTTTAAATTATGCTGATTAACCCATTTAAGCCCACCGCAGTTCATAGTTGTCATTTTCCTTTTGTAAGTATTTTTCTAGATGTTATCCATGTTTTATTTCTCAATGACATGCAAGCAAACAACCAAATAAAGGATTTCAAGAAGAAGAAAAAAAGGTATTCACTTCCTTCCTGTCACATGAGGCTGTCAATTTCCTACCCCTACTTCCAGCAAGCATGGCGAAGGCAAACCCTCCCAAAGAAATGTTATTTTCATGTTACTAATAAGTATTTTTTGTTGACATATATATATCTACATAATCATGAAGGTCTCTAGAATCATCCAAACAAAACAAATCTTACAGGAGATCTAGTTTTTTTGTATACTTAATCAAAAGTCCAAGCGGCAACTATAGTTGACTTGTAAGTACATATCATGGGGAAATGGGGTATACTGTGTTAATAGGTTAATAAATCAAGGTCATTGGTCTTGTTTAGTGCTTTTTGCTTTCATAATATCCCACCTAAAACATAGCGTAACCCTTTAACTGACATATCTACTGTACAGTAGACCTTCATTTGATGGGAATAAATCTGTGAAAAGGAGGAGATGAGAAAGCAATCTTTCCACAGCTCTACTACACTTCTGTGTCTGCTTTTTCCCGTTTTCAAGGGACAGCAGCAGTTTACACACTTCCGGCAGTCACACAAAAGGAAGAATGGAAAGATAACGCATGGGATTAATTGCTGTAGATTATCTTTTTCTCCCTTTATGACATTATGTCTTGTAAGGGGCAAAATATAGAGGCCCCTTTATCCAGTTTGGATGTGTTTCATTCTAATTGGTTGAAGCACTTCTGAAAATCGCAGTTAGATTAGCCTACGAAAATGTGACAAAATCTCCAGAATCAAAATCAGATACTCTATGAGGCACTTAGAATTAAGTAAACGACATATTTATGAGATGCACTGGTTTATAGTGCCAATTAGTCTTAAGTGTGTCAAAAAATATATATATAATTTTCAGTTTTATTACTACAGTACAGTACAATTAAGCATACATATTATTAATAAACCTTCACAAGTGTTAAAACTTGTTCTCAGCTCCTAAATTATTTAAGACAACTAGCGAGGTATCCTAAACTAGTTAGGAGATGCAAGATGGCTCTGTTATGCACACAGAGGCGGAGGCTGCACACTTTCCAAAACAATGAATGTTTTGGAATGGTATTATGGCTGTGATTTGGGTCAGTTTTTTTTTTTTTTTAGTTGCATCACTTTTCGTTTCATGAATGCATTAAATCTCATTCACATGGAGGGAGTGTTTAAATGGGCCACATCTTACCTTTCTGAGGGCTAAACCCACCGGCAACTATACTTGCCGCATTTTATAGTTGTCATTTTCCTTTTGTAAGTATTTTTCTATATGTTATCCATGTTTTATTTCTCAGTGACATGCAAGCAAATGGGCAAATTACTTGTAAGTATCATGGGGAAACGGGGTATACTGTGTTAATAGGTTATTAAATCAAGGTTATTGGTCTTGTTTAGTGCTTTTTTCTTTCATAATATCCCACCTAAACATAACTTAACCCTTTAAATGGCATCTCTACTGTACAGTAGACCTTAATTTGATAGGGAATAAATCTGTCAAAAGGAGGAGATGAGAGAGCAATCTTTCCACAGCTCTACTGCCCCACCTCTGTGTCTGCTTTTGCCATGGGGGGTGGGAATTTCCAGTTTTCACAGCAGCAGTTTACAAACTTCAGTCAGTCACACAAAAGGAAGAATGGAAAGATAAAGAGCTAAAGCATGGGATTAATTGCTGTAGATTATCTTTTTATCTACCTTTTATGACATTATGTCTTGTAAGGGGCAAAATATAGAGGCCCCTTTATCCAGTTTGGATGTGTTTCATTCTAATTGGTCAAGGACCCTAATTCTTTTTATGACTAGTAGCTTATGATTCCATTATAATGTTTAAATTCAGACAAGTAATGAGTTTACATTTACATTATTATATGAAATCACCTACTACAGTCAGCCATTGAATACTAATATTTTCTTCATTCTATTTATTTTTATTTATTTATTTTCATTTAACTAACACACCTCTAAGAATGAAAATATCTGCATGTTCAATAATAAGTAAATAAATAAACATGAGTGTAGCCTACACATGATAATTATTTAAATAATCATATATGTAAAAAAAGAATATCATTAATTTCATAAATATCAAGGACTTTTGTCAGGGTTAATTAACTGTCACTCACATTTTTGAACATAGACGTGAAAGTGCACGATCCAAACTTAAATTTTTATAATTCATGAACAAAAACATTTTGTAACATGATATTGATGTACCATTTTCATGGTAATGCAATGTTTGATTTTAAAATGGGTTTCAAAGGATGAATTTTGAGATTTAAAGTTTTCAATTGATATATCATTTCTGATGATTTCTAAAGTGTGCTAGAGAAAAAGGCAACGAAGACTTTTTTTGACAAAGGTCAGAACTCATGTTATGTTATGTAGATTTTTGAGGTGCACTCTTGTCAAAAATTAATCTATTACTTTTCCTACATTATTTTATTTGTAGGAAATATATATTTTAACAAAAATATTGGTAAAATTTCTATTTAGGAGTCTTAGACCTTTCCAACGATATATAGTTTGTCATGATTAGATTAGGAT